TTGTGTCTCTCACTGTTCACATAAACCTACCATTGAAATTGTAGACTGATCATTTCTTTGTTAGTGGGCAAACTTACAAAATCAGCTGGGGTTCAAATAATTTTTTCCCTGACTGTATATAACTGTAGTTTTATTTATTGCATTTAGTACCCATTATTAGCAGCCTACACAACCCACCATTATGTTCCTAAATATGATTAGCTTCATAATATGTCACATAACCACATTACTTGAAATCAAGTACCTCATAATTTTAGTTTAATTTCTTCACAATATGCAAAGATAATGACTTAGCTCCAGACTCCCCTTCTACTGTAACTCCAATGTGTCTAGTGCTAAGATCTAGTGTCACGCTCCCTTGCAACGACAGATACCTTTTGCATATTTGGCACAGTCTCCTTTCTGATTGCAAAATAAAATATTAGATGATTTTGTTCATCCAATTTTCTCTGTTGTAACCCTGCTCACTACTACCCACTGCTTCTTGTTTTTCAAACGTTTTGATACACCTCACTGATGTAGTCACTCAGTTGCCGACTCAGCCATCTCACAGCTACATGACTAAATCCAGCTAATTGACAGTCACATTTATTGGCAGCTATTTTTATTGATTTTTTTTCAATTTTACTGATTAATTGTTGCAGCCCTAAACAGAACCATTTTAAATTCTTGTAGACATTGAAGTCAAATGATTCTGAACTTGTCATTTTGACAAAATATGCACAATTTTTGTTCCACTTATTGTCAGGTTTGTAACAAGAACTGGACCCAAAAGCACACCACATATTTAAGAGAATGAAAGGTTTTATTGTGGGAGATAAGAAAAGGGCAAAGCTGCTCAAGAGGGTGGCAGGCTAAAGGACTGGTAGCAGCAGGAGGGAGATTTTACCATCAGCGAGTAAGGAATAATGTTGGTGGTCAGAGAATCTTGGCTGGCAGGTGGGGGGATTTTATGATGTGACTCAAATGCTTATGATACTTGGTTATGAATCCATTTAGTTGTACAGATAAAAAGGTGGAGAGGCAGGAGCAGAGACTCAAATGCAGTGGTGAATCTAGGAAGTGGTCAGAGTCCCCAGATGGTGGACCATGCAGGTAGGAAACTAATGGCGTACTTCTTAACAGATGAAATGGGAAACTGCCAGAGTCAGAGAGTGAGCACTGTTCTGTCAACAGAGAGCTCTCCAACACTTGGGAATACGGGTAACTGAGTGGCAGTATGTGGACTATTAAATAACTCCTAATCTCTAACAGACAGCAGGTTGATTCAGAGATCAGGCAGATCCAAAATACAAAATCAACATGAGCAGAACTGGTCAGAGGGCCAAGCAGGATGGCAAACAGATAAGAAGTGAAAATCAGAGTGAATGACTTAGTCCCAGGTCAGGGCAGGCAGGCAGACTGAACATATCAAACCTATAGAAAGCAACAAGGTCTGGGGCAGAAACTGGTCAAAGATCCAGTGGTCCAGCAGAAAAATGCAGAGAGGCTGTTAAGAAATGCATACAGCAAGTTACAATCTGCAACAGAGCAGGTTAAGTAAGGTGGGTGATGCAGCAGGACAGGTAGGCCAACATAGGAAGAGATAACAAAATAAGAGTCTCACAGAGGAAACAGGAACCAATCATGACACTTATTTGCAGAACCTTTAACCATATCACATCATCATCACTGGAGTTTGTCAGGCTGGATGATATTTCAATAAAGTGTATTATGGAAAATGTTGCTTAAGCAGATGTTTAAGAAAAAATATCAGGATTCAGAGGGATATATTCAAAGTTCTATGTATGTCTTTTTTGTTATATCTGTATAATGTACAGAAAAGAAAGCAAAGTAGTTACTGCATGGAAAACAGGAAAAACGAAATCTACAAAACTACGATGTGCTTTCGAAATAATAAGCAGTAAAGCAAAAGAGAGTTAATATAATTTGTTATCCATAGACTTGGAATATACCAGAAATATCAAAGTCAAACTTTCTGCTTCCATGGTGTATTTAGCTATTTGCTTATTTTTACATACATACGCACACACATTTAAAACATGAACAGGACTGTTGACTGCTGCACATGCTGCTCCCATGCAGCATACATACTCTTATTATACCCTTATATATTTTTATTATATTGCTGCATTTGCTGCTTAAATTGCCTTAGATTTTGTTACTTATTTATCTACTTTATATTTCATTTGTATTTTGTGGCATTCATGATGATGGCAAAGTAAGAATTTCATTGTACAGGGAAACCCTTTTCCTAACTGTGCATATGACAAAATAGACACTTTGATTTTGACTTTGACTTAGGAGAAATGTGTTTATTGCCACACTTCAGAGAAAACACAAGCCCAAATACAAATTTGTCACCTGTGACATGGTGTTTCCAGCCTGCTGATGGTTTCCCTCCCTGGTAGATAGCATTGCCAAACACTGCCCGTGACAGCATTGTCTAAAAGGGAGAGCAGGACAGCATATCAGGAACATGTGCTCAACGTCAACCCGCTGTACGCTCCCCACAACCAGCCCTCAGGGCAAAGCTCCACATACTGGGGGACAGGAATAAGCTCTGGTGGCCACAGGTTTGTGTGTTTTACACGCTTTGGACAGGTTTACAGTATGTTTGTGGTACTTCCAACTCTGGCTGCCTCATGGGTATTGTGGGATTCCAGCAGCTGAAAATAACAGCAGGCTGAAGTCAAGCTCTGCAGCAGTAACAGCAATGGTGCCACAGGCTGCTACAATCTAATTTTCCACACACATGCCATTTCTTCCAGCATGCATGTAATAATAAACAAATTAGGAAAGAAATGAGCTTTGATGGACTTGTTGGTTTTGTTCTGAGCAGCCTGGAAGCATCAGCTCAAAGACATTTTGTTTTCAGAGTTATACTAGAAGACGCACACACACACACACACACACACACATACACACAGCTGCTGGAATGAGTGGGATTTACCGGTGTCCTGAAAGGATAATCATCCATAAATCTGTATAGGTATAGGTGTCATTTAAAAAGGTGTTCTGTATACCTTCAGATCTTTCCTTTTCTCATGTTTAGAAACAGGAGTCATCCCGCTGATTGTCTGTTCATTGTGACAATGCAAACAGAAACTCTTAGTGGTTAATGCAGTATGACCTTAGTGCAGATTTGCCAAAATATTTTATATATGTAAGATGATATTATGCAACTTTAGATTACAAATCAGGCCTCAGCTTTATTTAATCTATTGAAAAGTAATACAAGGAGTAGTACAGAGAACACTTCTGGTTTACCTTACCTAAAACTACTTCCCATAGTTTATTGTCTCACATATCTCTGCAGCCCTGTGATACAGACTTAACAATACACAACATTTCAAAATTGGCTATGCTACTCTACCATTCCAGTTACTCCCTAGTAACAGCAGGAGTATCTCTGGTCCTGATAGAAAACTTAAATCATATTCATCCCAAATAAAAATAAGAAAATGAAAATGAAATGGGTTGATAAACATGTATTTTATATACTATCAATACAGTTTTCTGACCAGAGTAGAGCTCAGAAAGTCCAATCAACATGGTTTTTACACCCCTGTCTCTGATTCTGATGCCAATTGATGAGTAGTATGCTTAGGTTTACTTGTAGTGACTGTAGCATAAGTATATAAGTAAACAGTGAACACTAAACAACAGCCTGATTCAAAGGGTTAATGCAGTGTTGAGGCATCGTTACTAAGGCCGTTCTGGGACACTTCTAGTGAGAAAGTCCTCGAAACCTCCCCACTGCCCCCGCTCCACATCCAGCCTCACTGACTGAAGCTGACACTGAGATGACAGTTTAAGGTCAGACAAAATCTGAAGTGTTGTTTTTGGCATTTCACTTGGATAGATTTTAGCCTTTCTTCCCTGGATGACGGTTGAATTCTATTTAAATGCAGGCTTAGGCATTGGTTTGCATTGTTTCAACTGAGGTGGTTTTTGGTCACGCTCACAAAGCCAAATGTTTTTTCTTTCAGTCAGAAGTTAAGACTCCAGTTTGAAACAAAAATAAGATTATACTTTTAAAGGAGCTGTTTGCACATGTGTGTAACTGTGTGTTGTTGAGAATTTGTAGGTTGAGTCGTGCACTTCAACAGTATGTTATTATCAGTGAACTCAAACATGGTGTGCCCCCCTCCCCCCATCTGTCAATCCCTTGTGGTGGAAAGTGCAGAATCATCTAAATGCAGACCACTGTGGCACTCCTATAGCCACAACATGGCCATAACCGGATCAGGCTTCATTCCCAAAGCCCAGATTGGCACATATTTGTGGCTACTTACTTTCAGGACACATTTGATTTTTTTCAGGAAAAAAGAAAATAATCTGAACACAACAGCTACCTCTCTCAGTTTGAAAGCCTTATTGGGTTTGCTTTAGGAGATGTTACATGCTTTTGAGACACAGAGCTGCAGTTTTCATGCATTTCCTCCATTTTGTCCTCTACATTATTTTCTTTAGTGTTGGTGATGTTACATTTCTCTTCATAGCCATACAATTATTTTGTTCCTTCTTAAACCACCTCTGGTTTTTGTGAAACTTGCAATTTCAGTGTCCAGAGACCACACAAGGATGATGTCAGACTTCACTTTGGTTGCCTGGTAACTGTGGACATCCCCTCTCTTGCCAACTTTCAATCTGTGTTGTTCAATGGATAATAATTAACTTGTCAGGCATGGAAGTTGAAAGGTCACGCTATGGATATGTGTCATGCCTTTTGGTACTGTAAATCTCTCGCCCTGTGACCAACCTTTCTGTGTTTCTTTCTTTTTCAGGATGGAGTGATGATGGGATGGATGTGAATATGGGCCAGTGGGCAGGCATGCGAGCCCCTCTTCTCAGCCTGGCCCTGCTGCTGATATTGCTGTTCTTCAAGTCACCACTCTGCTGTGGCCAGAACACCCAGGGGGCCCCTCAAGGTGGACCTCTCTTTGGCTTCACTCGGGTTGTTTATCACGCCACTGTTTATGAAAACTCAGCAGCACGCACCTATGCCAACAGTAAAGTTAAAATGGGCATCCACCTGGCCCAGCGCTCCTGGGACATCCGCTACAGAATCACCTCAGGTGATGATGAGGGATTTTTCAAGGCAGAGGAGTATGTACTGGGGGATTTCTGCTTCTTGCGAATAAGAACTAAAGGTGGCAATGCAGCCATCTTGAACCGAGAGATTCAGGATAATTATGTATTGACAGTGAAAGCCTCTATCAAGGGAGAGGCCCTCCTGGAGACCTGGACTAAAGTCAGCATCCAGGTCTTGGATATGAATGACCTGAGACCCTTGTTTTCACCCACCACTTATTCCATCACCATAGCAGAGAGCACCCCTCTCAGGACTAGCATAGCACAAGTTACCGCCACAGATGCAGATATTGGCTCCAATGGAGAGTTTTACTATTTCTTCAAGGAAAAAATGGAGCTATTTGCAGTACACCCAACCAGTGGGGTGGTTTCTCTCAGTGGAAAGCTTAATGTTGATGAGCAGAACCGGTATGATTTAGAAATCCTCGCGGTGGACCGTGGCATGAAGCTCTATGGAAATAATGGGGTCAGCAGCACAGCCAAGCTTTTTGTCCATGTAGAGCGTGTGAATGAGCATGCCCCAGTCATGAATGTGATCACCCACAGCCCCTCGTGGCTTGACAAAGACCCTGTGTATGCCATGATCACTGTTGAAGACTTAGATGAAGGCTTAAACAGAGAGATAGACTCCGTGGTCATTGTGGGTGGAGATCCCTCAGAGCAGTTTTTCATAGAAAGATCTGAGGTAGGCGAGTTTGCCATAAAGGCTTCAGAGTCAATAAACTGGGAAACTTACCCATATGGCTGTAACCTCACTCTGCAGGCTAAAGACAGGGGAACCCCACAGAAGTTCTCTCCTGTCAAGGTTGTCCACATTATGGTCAAGAAACAGCAGACAGTGAAAGCTAAGTTTGACAGGGAGTTGTATGAAATTACTCTGAATGAAATTTCACCACCAGGCACGATTGTAGAAGCTGTTAAAATCAATCCAGAGCCTGATGATGCAGAATATATCCTGGCACCTTCTGCAGATTCAGCTTTTTTTCAAATTAACACCCTAACAGGTGTCATTTCCACCGCCCGCTGGTTCTTGCAGGTGACCCAGGATGTCTTTAATCTTGAGGTACTGGAAGTTGATAGTGAAATCAAAGTTACTGTGCGAGTAACCATCGAGGATGCCAATGACAACACACCAACATTTGCTCAGTCCACTTATGAGGTTTTTGTCAATGAGAGTGTACCAGTTGACACCAGTGTCTTAACAGTTTCTGCAGTGGATGAAGATAAAGGAGAAAATGGATACATCACTTACAGCATTTCCAGCCTTCAGCCATTACCCTTTAAAATCAATCAGTTTTCTGGTGTTATCAGCACCACTAAAGAGCTGGACTTTGAATCCTCATCAGAGAGCTTTGTGTTTATTGTTAGAGCATCTGACTGGGGGTCACCTTACAGACGAGAGAGTGAAGTCAATGTAACAATTCATCTGGAAAATGTAAATGATAACCACCCATTGTTTGAGAAGGTGGCATGCCAAGGGGTGATCTCTAGGGATTTCCCTGTGGATGAAATAATTACCACAATGTCAGCGATTGATATAGATGAGTTAGAGCTGGTGAAATATAAGATAATTTCAGGAAATGAATGGGGGTACTTCGACCTGAACCCAGATTCAGGGGTCCTTGCATTGAGACGTTCCCTTGCCACAGCCAGTCCAAAGAACGGTCTCTTTACTCTCAAAATAACTGCCACAGATGGAGAGAACTTTTCCGATCCTATGTTTGTTAACATCTCAGTTGTTCAAGGGAAATCTCCTCCCAAAAGTTTCAACTGTAAAGAGACAAGGGTAGCCCAAAGGTTAGCTGAAAAGTTACTCAAAAAGTCCAAAGGTAGCACCAAGCCCAAAACTGAGGAAGGTTTTATTGACCTTTTTTCTGTCAATCGGCAAATGCCCCAGTTTGACAAAGCTTTTCCCACAGATATTGCTGTACGAGAAGACCTAAAGGTTGGTGCAAGTGTTTTCAAGGTGAATGCATATGATGGTGATACAGGTTTCAATGGTCAGATTCTATACTCTATTTCAGATGGAAACACTGACAATTGTTTTACAATTGACATGGAGACTGGCCTTATCAGTGTCTTCCTGCCCATGGACAGAGAAAAGAGAGATCACTATCTCCTCAACCTAACTATCTATGACCTTGGCTTGCCACAGAAAACTGCCTGGCGTTTGCTTGCTGTCTACATAGAGGATGCTAATGATAATGCACCCCAGTTTTTGCAAGAAGGAGGGTATAGAATTGTCATACCTGAAAACACTGCCATAGCTACAGATGTCATCCAGGTTGAGGCCACTGACAAAGATCTTGGACCCAATGGGGAGATTGTGTATTCTCTTTTGACCAGCAGCACCCAGTTTGGTATCAACTCTACTAATGGGATAGTGTATGTTGCTGGCCAGCTAGACAGAGAATTTATTTCTACATTTAACCTGAAGATTGAAGCTCGGGACAAGGCAGAGAAAGGGAGCCAAAGGTTTTCTGTGACCACATTGAAAATCATATTGGAGGATGTGAATGACTGCCCACCACTATTTATCCCCAGTGTGTACAAAGCCAGGGCTCTGGAGGATCTTCCAGTAGGAACAGTTGTGGCCTGGTTAGAAACCCAAGATCCAGATATGGGGTTGGGAGGCCAGGTAAGGTACTCCTTAGCCAATGACTATAATGGATGGTTTGAGGTAGACAAGGCCAGTGGGGCTATTCGGCTGACAAAGGAGCTGGACTATGAGACCCGGCAGTTCTACAACCTCACTGTGAAGGCCAAAGACAAAGGAAGGCCCGTTTCCCTTCTCTCTGTTACATTTGTAGAGGTGGAGGTTGTAGATGTGAACGAAAACCTCTATGCCCCATATTTTTCCCATTTTGCCTTGTCAGGATTAATTAAAGAGAATGCCCGGATTGGAACTACTATACTTCAGGTCACTGCTAATGATGATGATGCTGGCAGAGATGGAGAAATCCAGTATTCCATTCGTGATGGGAGTGGGCTTGGCCGATTTGCTGTTGATGAAGAGACAGGTGAGTTTTTTTTTTTTTTTTTTTTTTGTCCTGAGGGGAGTGTGCTTTGAAATTAAAAAAAGACAGAAAGACAGTGCCAGACCTTGAATCTTGAAATCTTAGATTTTGATAAGTTACATGTTCTGGACTGCTAGTTCACCTGCTGCCAAAGAGTCTTTATTGTGGAAAAGGCTGCTAAGTTTTGGTAGACTTTGTTGAAACTATGAATAATGATGTGAATTAATGCTTGGAAGATAGTCTTGCTGCCCAATCATATGAATCTACAGGATCCCATAAATCTTACTGTATATTCAGTGCAGTTACAGTGTCAGATTGGTCTGAGTACTGAAGGAATGTAAAATCAAAATTAAAACTGAAAATAGTGATTTGTAAATCATCTGTGCCCTGTATTACATTGAAAACAACACAGCAGCACATTATTTGATATGATACCTCATCAATTTTATTGTTTCAATTTTGATGCCTGCAACACATTCCAGAATAAGCTGGGACAGTAGAGCATTTCCCACTGTGTGATGTTGCTGTTCCTTTTCATAACACTTAAAAGATGTTTAGCGACTGAGGACACCGAGTGACTAAGTGTGTCAGTTGTCATTTTTGTTATGGTTACGTCCCCCTCACCAGGGGGTGAGGGAGAACTGAGGTAGGACTCGAGATGCAGACCCAGGTGCTAGTGGAAAAAAGGAGGTTTACTGGAAAATGAAAGTAACTGAGTCAATTTATGGTACAAAAACAGGGTAGGGCAGTGATGGCTGAGAAGACCAGGATGAACAAGTGAGTAGACTGAATAATGGTAGGAACCAGGAGAGCCGGAGGACTGGGACAGACAGGTGAAAAGGCAGTAACCAGGTGGATAAGCTATGCCATTAGGGAAGCAGAGTAGTATACGGAAAAGAAAACAAGAATTCAACAGCACAGGAACTGTCAGCGTTGAAACCAAGTTGCGTATAGTTAAACACGAGTATACAACGTACTGAAAAATAATCAACCGCACACTGGCAATCCTCAGCCCATCTTTGCTCCTAAAGGGCTCGGCCTTTCCTGGATGCCACTTTTGTACCAAATTATGATTTCAATCTGTTGACATCACCTGTTTCAAATCAAATCATCATTTTACCTCATTACTAGCCCTAAAATACAAAATGTTTATTCTGAAGTATAAAATTGGAATTTGAAATTTTAGAGGTAGAACACAGACAATAAAATAGAGGTTGACTATAATTAATATAAATACTAAGACCTGGCATGTTGTGTGACCTATTTCATGATGCGCTGAGTTATGTTTGAAATAGTGACATTTTGGCAAAACTGAATGCACAGAGGTCAAAACAAAGAATACGTGGACAGAATCCTTTAAACAGTTTCTACCTTTATTCAAAGGGGGCTGTGAATCATCTCAGCCTTCCAATTCTCTTTGGATCCTCTCACAGCAAAAGCTTGATTTTGTGTCGCTGTGGGAAACTGCCAAATGAGAATAATTGTATAATAATATGATTCACAGGGTGTGTTTTATGGTTGAGTGTGGTTGGTCATCATTTTCACATCTCCCAGATTAGGAAGACTAACATTTTTTTATCTCTATAAAGTGCCATCTCATGTTAATGTTTATAGCCTTACACTTATGTAGGGCTTCTCCCAGAAAATTGGATAGCAGAGGGGGGTGTGCAATTGGCAGGGACTAGTAGCATTGTCAAGGTAATTTCTGATAGCTGATTGTTGGAGTGTCATTTTTGTGGGCTGAATATATGATGCCTTTCTATGAAATTGTTACACAGACAAACAGATCAGGTTTCTTCCCGTTAGATATTGGAATGCTTTATTATTATATTTGAACCCAGTTACAACTTATTTTTGGACTCCATGTCTGTGGCTGTTATCATTTTGTGAATTGTTTTGTTCAGTGTTGCAGTTTTTGTAGACTGTCCTCCTGTAAAAAATGAGTTCATATGTCGTTTGTGTTAGCAGGTATCACATTATAGTTAGGCGATGTCTAACAACCATATTTCCTAAACCTAATCAATAGATTTTGTGCCAAAACCCACTGAAACATGATGGTTCCATAATCACAACCATGTTTATGATTGTTTCCATGACAGTAAAGGTCTGTTATGCTTGCCCATGGAGTGGTTGTATGAAGCGTATGAGTGTTACTATGACAACAGTCATGGTACAAGTGACATATGTATATTGTTGTTTAGGTTGAAAGTCTTGTTGAGTTTGTATGGGAGGCCCTATGAGACATAAATCATATTCAGTCATACATACTACATCATAAGCTCACATGTCCACTACTTTATTCTTCCACACATACTACTATACCCTTTTTATTTACTTCCATATTCTCCTACACAAACTATTATTCTTTTTAATATACACAACATTACTTTCTTATATGCACCATCATAGGCCCACCCTTTCACAGACAGCACCATATATTCCCATACACACATGCACAGACATTATATTCTTGCATAATAGTTTATGTAATAGTGGAAATTTGTATATGTAACAAATTATGATAGAATATGTAAGTGAGTTTAATACTGTATGTGAAACAGAATAATAGTGTATGTGTAAGAGATATTAATTGTCTGTGTGAGTGAGAATAGTCACGTGTAAGCAACAGCATAATAGTGAATGTAAGACAGAATAGTTGTCTGTGTGAGAGAGTTTGCTTAAAAAGAAAATAAAACTGAATTCTCAGTTCCCGATTGGCTTATCTTCATACATGAGGGATTTGGCCCACCTTTCCAATCATGAGGAGAACATGGTGGACAAGTGGTGACTCAGTGAAGCTGTTCAAGTGCAGCTCATTATTCATGTGTAATATGGCCATTGGATAATGTCTTTTTTTACGTTGTGTTTACTTGGAGTAATTGGGTATCATGCAAATGGTTGATATGCCTATATAATGCTGCAACAAGCAAAGAAGCTTAAAGGATCTAATATTTATATAAATGAAGATTACACTGAGTCTGTGAGGAAGAGAAGAAGGGAGTTGATGCCGAGGTTAAGGGAGGCCAGGGTGAGGGGAGACATCGCGTTCCTACGGTATGACCGACTAGTGACCCGTCCTCGGAACCAGAATCCAGGACCTATGACCAGCACGCCGAGGACCAGTATGCCGAGACAAGGAGAGTATGAAGGGGTCGCTGGACCCTCAGCTGTATGAAGAAACACGTAGGTATATTGATATCTGCGAGGGCAGATGAGCATTGGAACTAACAATTAGCAGGAACCAACAACAAGTATGACCCACGTATGGAATGAGGCAAGTGATTTGCTACAGAGGTTAATAGTTTTTGAGGGATTGGATCTGGAACTGAACACAATTGGAGCCACTGAACAACATTATCATGAATCGGACGATGACTTTGACCCTGAAAAAAACTTTTTAAGAACTCTGAAAATAACTGCAAGTATTACACGGATGAGCAGTTTAACAGCAATGTTAAGACTGAAAACAAATTATCATTAATTCACTTTAATAGCAGAAGTTTATAAGCAAACTTTCAAAGTATAAAACATTATCTTAGTAGTCTTACACATTCTTTTAATATAATTGCTATTTCTGAAACTTGGATGAAAAATGTAAGGGGAATGGATTTTGACCTTGAGGGCTATGACTTGGTATGCACAAACAGAGAGAATAAGATGGGAGGTGGTGTGGCCTCGTACATAGATAAAAACTTTTGTTATAAGA